CCCAACAATAAATGCTTTCGGCTCTGTGGGCTTTGTTGTCTGCCTCCTCTGCCTTGCTATTACCTGCGAAAGCAGACCGGGACAGTACGTCAGTGGATGAGTGTGGCTGTGTCCATTTAAACTTAATGTACAAAGACAGGTAATGGACCCAATGTGATCTGTGAGCTGAGTCCTGCTCTTGACCATGGTTCACAGACTTGAGGGGCCAGGCAAGTACAACGGCCTGTGGAAAGTGGTTATTGGGGGACTGTGTCTAGCAGAGAAGATGTGCCTTGTCTCAAGAGGACAGCTCCTTCTCACAGCTCGGTGATACCAGATCTTGCAATTTAAGAGTAGATGGAAGCTTGGATTTTTAAGCAAAATCATCTGACATTTTTTTCATTTGGCAAGTAATTCAGATTTGCTAAGGAGATAGCAGGCAAAAATATGTTTTGTGAGCTCTTTTTGTTTGGTTCATGGTGCTCTAGTTTTGTACATTTTGGTATTTTCTGATTCAAATATGTATTATATAACAATAAGAACTGTTCATCAAATAGGGTCAGGAGAAAGCTTTTCGTTCTCATAAAAACTTACAGTCTTGGAAGCCATATCCAGGGTCTATGTGAGTTGGAATAAACTTAGTGACACGGGGTTTGCCAAGGGAGCCTCGTGCTGTAGTGGGTCATTCATTGAGCTGCTAAACAACAGGTTATTCTCAGAGCTCAAGGGGACGGGGCAGTTCTAGTTTGTCCTTTGGGATCTCTGGGAGTTGGGATCTATATGACTTGATGGCTGTGAGTTTTCCTCTTCCAGATGTCATTGGACATGGATAAATAGCAAACATCTGATGCGGGTGCTACCACTAGCCTTTATATAGTGCCTGTCACAGACATCAGTAATGGTCATCCTACATCTCCCACTGAGCCTAGATAAGGCTTCAGCGCCCTCTTCTACCCAAATACTGCAACCAGCAAGTCACGTGTGTTTCCCGATATGCAAGGTATTTGTCATCTCTCTTCCAGAAGATTCTCTTGAAAATATCTACAGGGAGTCGCCTTGGGTTTTTATATAATGTGATTTTATTTGTAAATCTATTTAAGGGGTACTTTCACCATTTTTCATATGCATTTTCCCAAATCCTCTTTAGTGAGTTGTGTTCATATGGCTTCGGTTTTATAGCTCAGTTTCAGGAATTGAGGAGTAGCTGGAATTGGATGTGTCCTTAAAGTTCATTTATAGCATTTTACCTTGCAGAGCCCATGAATTCAGATTTATGGTCTGTTTTTTTTTTTCCACCATGCTTTGGGCAAAATCAAGTGAATGAATAAAAGGCAGTTCCTTTGTTTGCCTTTCTTTTACTACCTTTGCCCCTCATGCCCAGTTATCTTAGAATTGGGTATTCAGAACTTTGGAATTCTGTTTATGAGTCTGTGCCACTTAGGATCAGTATGTATAGTTGGATTTCACATGTGATCTATACATGATGCAGCTGAAGTAAACTCTCCTCAATTGTCCATTTTGACCACAGAAAACTTTGTGTCTTTTGACATCCCTTGTCCCTTCTGACTGTTTAAATCTCACTTTTCTTTTACCTTCTCTAAGAAGTCTGCTCTAGCCATTTAAAGCCCTAATCTAGCCTATCTTTTCTGAACTCCATTATTGCTGACTACTATATGAACATAGTAGTAACGTCATACTTTATCCCATTCTTTGACTTCATTTTGTGTTACTTTTGTCTTCTGAATTAACTTTTTTCCCCCTCCTACCTTCTAGCACAATAGAGATTTGCATGGTGTGTGCCAAAAGAACATTTTGTTTCTGAGCAAGCAGTATAGAACAGCAAATGCTCATGGAGTGCCTTCTATATGCCCGTCAGGAGGGACCTCACTGTGGGTGCAGTGGACAAACAGGCCCTGCCTTCCCCTGAAGATCAGAGCCTAGGGGAGCAGTTAAAAGGCTAATGAAATGTAAAAAGCAGAGTTGTTCTGTGGAGTTGCCATGTAATGGTAATCAATGGTGGACATGCAGTTCCACAAAATGAAACTTTCCCTGAGGCCGAGCTTTCTGTTTGCTCATTTCTTTGATTTCCCATATAAGTGCCTGTGACAAAAAAATAACAGTGAAACACAAGCCAGACTCACTGTCCTCGTGCCTGTTCTGGCTCATAATGACCCTCTAGGACAGGGCAGAACTGCCTCCTGAGTTCCCCAGACTGTACCTCTTTAGGGGAGGAGAAAGCACCTGGTGGTTTTGAAGTGCTGACCTTGCAGTTAGCAGCCAGCGTGTTTCCACCAGGGCTCCTAAGTGCCCGTTGACACTGCCTAGTAAATCGTGAAGTGTTAAGTGATTCTTTAGGGGCATTTCTTTGGTCAGTTGTTGTAGGATAATAGTTTATGTGTACTTTCCAGTTCCTTTCTGTGTCTCTTCCACCCCCGCCCCCAACACCCATTCCTTCTGAAGGGCAGACCAGTCTCTGATTTTTCCCCCCCAGAAATATTATACACACATAGTTTTTCCCCCCACTCTTAAACATACACCAAACAATTCTATATTGGTCTAGTTACATTATTTTAGTGGCTACATGTTATCTTTCTGTCTGGATATATCATAATTTACTTAGCCAGTCACTTATTTATGCGCATACAGCTCCGGTTTGATCTTTTGCTCTTGAATATACACTCGCTAACTTCCTTCATTGATCCTGTCTCATAGAGACTCCTGTACAGGATCCCCAAGGCTGTAAATCTTTATGGGAGCAGGTAGCTTCAACTTTCTCCTGTGGAAAAAAGACGAGTGTGTTTGAACCACGGACACTGCACTTAGCAATCCAATGCTTCCCCTACAGCATCACCAGAGCTTTGTGAACGTATGCTAGGACTATAGTAAATATGCTTATTTAATAGCCATTTTGCAACCTCTTTAAGTAAGAAATGAGGTATCGATGGTTCAGAGGTTGAATCCTTGCCTTCCATGCATGAGGCCTGGGTTCTCCTCTCAGCCAACGCACCTCATGCACCACCAGCTATTGTCAGTGGCCCATCACAGATTGGTGTGATGCGGAATAGGTTTCAGTGGCATACTTTTCCACTTCTTAATTTTGGGAATGTTTCCCTTTGAAAGTATGGCTTTGGTAGTGAGATAAAGATAACTCCATCATATTAAGGAAGTACCTACCTATTTTTTATTTTATTCAGATTTATATCAGGATGTATTTTTAGCACATTTTATCACTTACTTTTATTTTCCTCTACTGATCCATATGGATTTTTCTTTTAAAACGCTGTTCTGTTATAACCACTTGCCTATTATCATGGATTTTAAGTGTAGGTTGCCCATAACTTATGACAGGGTTCCATTCCAATATCATCATAAGCTGTTATTTATTTATTTATTTATTTTTCTTTTAAAAATCATTTTACTGGGGGCTCATACAACTCTTATCACAATCCATCCATACATCCACTGTGTCAAGCACATTTGTACATTTGTTGCCATCATCATTCTCAAAACATTTGCTTTCTACTTGAGCCCTTGGTATCAGCTCCTCATTATCCCCCTCCCTCCTTCCTTGCCCCCCTCCCTCACGAACCCTTGATAATTTATAAATTAGTATTATTTTGTCATGTCTTAAATTGTCTAACATCTCCCTTCACCCACTTTTCTGTTGTCCTTCCCCCAGGGAGGGGGTTACATGTAGATCATTGTGACCGGTCCCCCCTTCTACCCCACCTTCCCCTTCCCCTCCTGGTATCGCCGCTCTCATTGCTGGTCCTGAGGGGTTTATCGGTCCTGGATTCCCTGTGTTTCCAGTTCTTATCTGTACTAGTGTACATCCTCTGGTCTAGCCAGGCTGTTTTTTATTTAAGTGTTATTTGTTTTTATTATCAGGATCATTCAAAACAGTAAATCATAACATTAAACATATGCAAGAGAACACCTGAGCATGGCAGCAGCACTAGTAGATAGTACTAGCCGTAGCAAACAAACAACAAAAACATTGCCATCCAGTTGATTCTGACTTCGAATGAAGCTACAGGATCAGATATATAAAAGAGAGAAAAACAAAACACAACCCTAGTAGTTCATACTAAATTGACTGCGTTGTAACTCAGGAAATGCTTCTGTAGGATTTTGCCTATTGAACTAAATTGGCATTCCTGGAAGAAGTTCTACTGAAAACAAACCAAACCCACTGCCATTGAGCTGTTTTTGACATGTAGTGACCTGATAAGGCAAAATAGATTTGCGCCCTAGGTTTTCTGAGGCTGTATAAGTTTTTATAGAAACAAACAACCTCCTTTTTTCTCCTAGGCAGTGCTGGTGGGTTCAAACTGCTGACCTTGTGGTTAGTAGCCCAATGTGTAATCAGTCCTGACACCAGGACTGTGGTTGTGGAATAGTGTTCTTTGTACGTTTTTTTATTTGGATTCTATTTCTGTATATTTGGGAATTTCACACTGATTTTTTTATCTAAGAGATTGGTCATTGTATGTATGAGCTTTCATTTTCAATTCTGATTCAAATCTACATGAAAAATGCTTGAGAACTTATAAAATTTCTCTGCTTTTAAACAATTTAAAATGATTGGAATTACTGTTCTTCATTTGGTTCAATTCCTTTTTAAAAACTCACGGGATCTATGTTTTCTTAGGATATAGTTGTGTACCTCTTTGGGGATCGACTTTGTTAATTAGAATAGTGCATCTAAATTAGCCATTAAATTAATATTCTCAATTTATTTGGAGTTGAGCAAAATAATATTTTACCTTTCAAGGCATCAGTGGTTATTTCTTCCTCATGTTCTTTATTTATATCATTTTATATTTTTATTTATTGGTAAGACATGAAAAAGCAAATGACATGTTAACAATATTCTAAAGCATATTTAAAAATATATAGCATAAAGTGGGATATAATTATCAAATTTTATAAAAACCTTAACCATTCCTAAAGTAAGCTTATACAATTTAGAAATTTAAATAAGATGTTTCCTTTCTGATCATTTTATTCTCTTTCGACAGGCCCGGGGGAAGAAAGTGAGAATGACTCTCAACTTGAAGGCAGAGACCCTGATACTTGGCATGTTGGTTTCAAGATCTCCTGGGACATAGAGACACCGGGCTTGGCAATCCCTCTTCACCAAGGAGACTGCTATTTTATGCTTGGTAATCTTAGGAGGATCAAAATTATATTGATGTTCTAGTGTCCATGTTTAGATCATTGAGTATATAGTTTGAATATGTCTTTTGATGTAATCTTTTCAAGCATTTCATAGTAGTGATACTTCGCTATTTTTGTGTGTGATACTTCTTTATACAAGCATGTAACTAGTTTCAGTGAGATACTGCTAATCTATCATTGTGAAGTTTCTTAAGTATTTTACTGAGTGTACAAATTCTGGGAGAAAGACGAGGCTTTCTATTCCCGTTAAGATTTTCAGTCTTGGAAACCCTCAAGGGCAGTTCCACCCTGTCCAATTTGGTTGCTATGCGTGGGAATCAAGTTTTTGGCAGTGAGCCTGACAAGTTCCTCGAAGCAAAAAAGTTATTTTGAGTTTTGAATTTGCTTTCTTCCCAGACAGGTGACTAGTAACTGGGCCATCCTTCCGACTTGTCTTTGGTTCTCTGGGAAGCGATCCTGCAGCTGTGCTCAGGCTCCGTGAAGCTGTGGGGACTGACAGGCTTTGTTTTTGTTGCTTCCCATGTATATTGCTTGGCCCTGTTTTGGGCTTTCCCTGCTCTGTTTCGGGTGCAGCGTGCAGACAATATCCACGTTTACTCACACATTTCCTTAGGGTCCGTTCTCTGCTAATGATTCAGAGCTTATCTCACTCGACCCTGTCTGGGGAGATCTCCTTGCGTGTTGGGTTTGGAACCAGGAAGCACTAGGGCTCAAGTACAGAATTTATTGATGTAATAGTTTTTTTAGATCTAATTAGCATATCATACAATTCCGTAGTTCTGTCATATTAGGAAGGGTTGTGCAATCATCACCACAATCAACTTTGAAACATTTTTTCCTCTTTCTTGTACCCATTGCTGTTGACTCCCCATTTCCCCACAAGCTCCCTATCCATGACCCCAGGTAATTGTTAATCCAGTTGTTGTCTTCATAGATCCACCCATCCTGACTTCCCTGCATAGAAAAACATGAGAAAAAAAGTGACTTAGCAATATCGACCAAATGACAGAGAAAAACATCACTTGAGAAGAAAGCAGAAAATATTAGAAAACCAGAATAAATTCAAAATAGATAAAATCACAGAATTTATTATAAGAAGAATATTGAATTAAATATTATTTAGGTGTTATTTCAGTCAGTCATACAGTAGCTTCATGGTGGTTGCCAAATTCAGGCACTCCCTGAGTCCTGGTGGTGCTGTCGGCTAAGCAGTGGACATCTAACCTCAAGGTCAGCCATTCAAATCCATTACCTGTCCCATGGCAGAAAGATGAGGTTTTCTGCTCCTATAAAAATTTATAGCCTCAGAAAACCTATATAGGGACACTGTGAGTCAGAACTGACTTGATGACAGTGGCTTATTGGATTTCCAGTTCTATCGTTTGGAGCCCCGGTGGCATAGTAAATGTGTGTTGGCCTGTGGCCCACAAGGTGGGCATTTTGAAACCACCAACAGCTCTCCAGGAGAAAGACAGGCTTTCTACTCCTGTATATAGTTACAGTCTCAGAAACCCACAGGGGCAGTTCTACCTGGGTCTACAGGGTCTCTGTGAGTCAGTAATGACTCAGTGGCAGTGAGTACTATTATATATATGTATTATTTAGCTCTAAATAATCTTACTTTTTTCTTATTTATTTTAAAAAGAGATCTTACATCACAACTTCAAATGGGAAACTAACAACTCATAGCGTAACTAGATGAGTTTTATAGCTATAACCTAAACTGAAACAGTAATATTAAATATCTGTTACTTTGGAGAAGACAAGGCTTTCTATTCCTGTAAAGAATTAAAGTCTTGAGTATCGAATCCATGACAGTGTGAGGGAGAGAGAGAAAAAGAGAGAGAAAGAGAGAAATCTATTATGTTGTTTGTTGAAGATTGTCTTTTTGAAGATCCTGTCTTTTTGAGAAAGGAGATGAGGAGCTGTTAGAGGGGTATTAACCATATCCTGGTACCAATCTCAGACTTTCTTTTCTGTGTTAGAATAGGAATATTAAAGTAGGAATATTAAAAGATCATTTATATAGTTACTTTCAGACACAGTGATTTGGCTTAAAACTAAATGGTTACTAACGTCTCAATAAGCTATTTTCCCTTGGTTACTTTGTTCAGGAGTTTCCATTAGCAATTTGTATTGTAATATGATTGGAATCTTAAATTGTATGACATGTGAATTATATGCTAGTAGAACTATTTAAAGAAAAGAATAAATAAATAAAACGAATATAGGGGAGAAAAAAGAAGCCTCAGAATGGTACCATGTTTAAAAGTTTTATCACATTTCTCTTAGATACACTAGTAATAAGTACTCAGTGTAAATGTTTTATTATTTTCCATTTATTTACTAGTGTCCCGTGTGTTTTTATGACTCAGAATTAACTCAGTGGCAGTTTTTAAAATTGTGCTTTACATGTTCTGTTCCAGTTAAATCGGCAGTCTATGCTCAATTTAGAGTAAATGAACTCTGCAAAGTGTGAATGAAAGAAGAATATATAAAAATTAGATAATCATGTCTGATTTAGCATATTCCTTTCTAGTCCCCCCCCCCCATTTCTCCTCCTGAAATATATATGTATGCAGTAGTGGTAGCAATATGAACAGCTCCTACATTTATCAGAGACTAATGGCAAATCAGACATTTCCTTAATGCTCAGTAACTCAGAGAGCTAGATAGTCACATTGTTGGGAAAGAAGAAATCATGGTTAGAGAAAGTTATTTAGCAATGGATACATAGTGAGTAACAAGTCTGAGTTAAAACTTGTCATTTTCACCTATTCCGACTCTGAGACCCATGAGCATGCCTTCTCACCCCACTCAGGTTTCTGTCACCCCCCGACCCCACCCCCCGGCCCCCACTACGTCCAGCTTGGATGCCCCTCCTTGTTCTCCTAATGCTTCTAGAGCTAAGTTCTATTTTTTCTTCTTTTTAAAATCATTTTATTGGGGGCTCCTACAACTCTTATCACAATCCATCCATACATCCATTGTGTCAAGCACATTTGTCGCCATCATCATTCTCAAAACATTTTCTTTCTACTTGTGCCCTTGGTATCAGCTCCTCTCATTTTCCCCCTCCCACCCTCACTTCCTCCTTCACGAACCCTTGATAATTTATAAATTATCATTATTTTGTCATGTCGTACACTGCCCAACGCCTCCCTTCACCCACTTTTCTTTTGTGTTTCCCTCAGGGAGGGGGTTATATGTAGATCCTTGGGATCGGTTACCCCTTTCTACCCCACCTTTCCCTTACCCTCCTGGTACCACTACTCTCATTATTGGTCCTGAGGGGTTTATCTGTCCCAGATTCCCTGTGTTTCCAGTTTGTATCTGTACCAGTGTACATCCTCTGGTCTAGCTG